GTCGGTTACGTACGTACCTACCTACCTACTACTATAGTAGGTACGGACCGTACCTACTACTACGTACGAGTCGTACTACGTAGTAGTAAATAAATAATANATATATATATATATATATATATATATATATATATATATATATATATATATATCTTCTTTAAGGGGGTTTTAAAATAAAGAACATGTAGTGGTTCGATCCGTTAACTGTGTGTAAACCGGGCCACACCGTTGAACCAAGATGCGCTTTCGATCTTGTAAGAGATGAGTTTGTTATATAAATATAACTTATTTTCTTTGTTTTTCTTTTTATTTTTTTGAACGCGTGATGGACTTCCGAGTAACTCGCCTTGGCCAAGGGGCGAGTATCTTGGCTGAGACGAGTTCCGACACCTTAATATTGCTCATCGAGCACGGCAAGTTCTGACTTTGTCCTTAAAGAACTTGTCTAGTTGCCACAGTATCTGGGCAAGTTCATACAGTAACTTCCCATGGTACTTGTAACAATTTGATACCCCCGAGTTGGGGTTTTCCGGGCCCAACTGGGTGCCTGAGTGGCTTAAGTGAGTTTTCTAACAATGATTCGTAAACATAGCATAGGCATGTGTTATGTATGCTGGATCTGTACAAATACAAGCCACATAATGGTGAGGAGAATGGAACACACAATTGCGAAGCCTAATTGCATGTCTGCCATAGAATGGATAAACAGACATAATAAAAGTAGCCTATCAGTGTGAGAAGAAGCAAAAGCCCATACCATTAGAAGCCTGGAAGCCTAGATATTCACCCAATAATAACTAGGAAAGAATCCACTCAGTCACTTAATGGGTCATCATCACCTAGGCACCAGCCTAGGCCATTCTTGATTACATAACTAAGAAGAAACTGAGATGGCCTAAGACAAGGGTTGCTGAAGCAATGGCCTAGAGCTAAGAGAAAATGAGCTTGGAGTTTAGAAAATGGGAACTTAGAGAGAGAGAGATAGCGAGAGAGAGAGAGAGAGAGATAGCGAGAGAGGAGGGGTTGGGGTGGGGGGTGTCACACATGAAAAGTTTGAAGATAGATGATGGGTAGATGTAGCCGGTTTGACAAGAAACGTCAACAGTAGAGGACTGGTGAGGATGAAAAAATAAATAAATTTGCAGCTTTGGCAAATATCACACTGCTATGGTGTGAGAATAATGAATAACCAAGTAACCTATCATCTAAGCTATACAGCCTCATGAATCATGTCAATAGTACTTCAATAGCAAAAAGCGAAGGCAAGACAAGCGAAAACAATTCTAGGTTTGTGTTCACAATCTCTATGTCAATTCCATTACCCCTTCCTTATCGTCATGTTTTGATGTCATGTACTTGATTCAGTTTTCATGGTTTATTATGGGTGCCGAGGGCCTGCTTAAAATAACTCATATGATGTAACCAAAATATACATGAAATAGCACTTACCAAGACATTGTTTGGTGTTCCCTAAGCAATGATCCTGGATCGTTCTTAGTCTTGAGTCATAATTACATAATGAACATTTAAAGAACCCACATGAAAAAGATGAAAACAGATTGAAAGATGAGTGGATTCATGTTATACACGAGACCATGAATTTGAACTACGCGTCCAGTTTAATTAATATATGAACATCAAAATATGGGGTCACAAAAGTGGGTCAATTGACTAGGATACATAGAATCAATAGAGACACTTGCAATTTTATTTTATTTTTTGAAAGTGAGACACTTTCAATTTTATCCAAAGCAATTTAGCAATGTTTTCATTTTTCCAATTCCCATTGACCAATTATTGTCCTCATTTCCCTAGAACATCATAATTCAGTTCCACACATTTCCCTGGAACATCACAACTCAGTTACCAAGTGGACTCATATACACTAGGAACATTAAAATCTAACGGAACTTTGTTTTGCACAAGAATCATGTCGGAACCTCATAACACAAAGTATTGTCAAATTTGATATTTAAACATACCGAAGGTTGATCTGTCTCTTGGATAAGTTGCTTTAGACCCCAGTTTGGTTGTCTTTCAAAAAGCTTGAACATAATATCCTCGAGTTCGCCACGATCTCTTCTAGTTCTCTTCATTTCTTGACCCTTTATTGGTAAAATTTTCTTCTTATCCTGATAAGAAAATAAGTACAAGGGATTCACAGAAGGGTTATACAAGATTTCTATCGCATCCTAAACTAGAACTTGTTCCTCCATCTCAGGGTGGGGGAATCTCACTCTCTCTCTCTCTCTCTCCATATATATATATATATATATATATATATATATAGAGAGACTACACAACGACCAAGTAGGACGAAATAGAACAGTATTTACGTCTATACGTACTTAACGACCACTCTACGTTTTCGGTACGGTCGTAGTATTATACGTACGTACGGT